CTCAGTATGGGAAGGCTCAGCGCTCGAATGGTTATGAAGGGCTTGCAAGCTTGAATAAGACTCGGTGTAGTTTTTACCAAACTTTGGGGCGCCACCAGAAACCAAGATACCAGGAAAAATGGTATTGCCCAAAGGTGGTAGATTCACTAGGGCCCCAACATCCCTTAAAGTAATAGACATGAGGTCAAGAGGGAAAATAAAGGTATTATACTCGGAAGACCAAAAACTCAAAGCAATCGAAAAAAGTGCTGAATCAAAAGTGGAGAAGAATAGAAATTTCTAACAAATCAGAAATCCTAGCATTATCAAAAAGTGCCTTAGTAGGACCATGACTCACAAGACGAGCATGGCACCTACGGAAAGTTACATCAGATTTAGGCCAAGTGCGAATACCTCTTTCTCGAAGTGGCCCCAACGGCAGAGAGTTTAGAAATGGAAGGCCTTGAGTACAAGGAAACAGCTGACCCACCGCCGCCTGTTCGACTGCCTCTGCATTGTTGAAGAAAGGACCTAGGTAGAACTTATTGAGTTCGACATTGGCAGGCGCGAGAAAACTCGGAGTTATGTATGGACGACTCAGAAGTTTCTGAAAGTCATCAAAACTAAAGGAGTCGCCAGCTTGAGATTGTGAAGTAGCCATTAGAGATGGAACGAAGTTTTTTCAGAGTTACGTAGCAGGGAAGCAAAAGATGAACAGTAAATCGTGGGAGAGAAGCGAAAAATTGAGGCGTGATTTAATGGTGCAGTGAAATGGCGTGTTTGGGGGTTATAAGGATTTGCAAAACGACGCACATTTTCAAGTTATGGAAGAAAACAATGATTGAAATTTTTGGGAATTTCGAATGTTGTTGGAAACACAGAGTGAATATGGCAAAATTTAATAATTGGTATTAATTCTGCCATATTGGGGGGTAATTGTTGACACATAAAAATTCAGGCCAAATCGAACGGCCCAAGGAATGAAGCCCAATTGAAGGATCCCCAAATCAGATAGCCCAAAGAACGAAGCCCAATCAAACAATTCAGAATGAAGGCCCAAATAGGGAGGCCCAAGAACGCGGTAACGCCATCGCCCAAGTTTGCAAGTCGCGCAAAATCTGGGCGAATGGAGTGCCATGCAGTCGCCCAGAGCTGTTACTCTATTCTCACCCAGACCTTCAAGTCACCCAAGGTCTTAGCAAACATAAAGTGTTGTGGTTATCAAGAAGTGCAGTTGTCAAAGCAGTTATTAAAGCAGCCCTATCACGTTTCACGATTCAAGGAAGTCAATCGAAAATGGTTGAACGACGAAGAGTAATGGCAGTAGCTAAAAAAGGCAGTTTCATGACAAGATGGCTATTACGAGGAAAGTGGGCAGTTGTAGAACGATTAAGCAGTTTTTAGGCGGTTGATCACAAAGAGATCATTCATGGGGTATAAAAGGGAGAAAAGATATAGAGCAAAGGACCGAATCAAAAACTCTCGAACAGAGAATATGTAATTTTAAATTCCTTAACTTAGATTTAAACACTTTTTTCAGTAACTCGTGTGCTTGCGCCCCTTGGAGGCATTTTGTTTTTAATTTCCAATTGTAAAGTCATCGCCAATAAAAGAACACCCCTTTTTGGGACTTTGTCTCAAGAGGTTTATCCCTTACACAATCGTCTGATCCCTTTTAATTGTTAGCGACTAACCCGCGCGAAACACTATGAGATGCAGATCGAGCAATTTTGTAACGAGAGTGTATACAAAAAAGATTGTTCTATAGTAAATGTTAATTGAAAAATAAAATGGAAAATTAACACAAATTAAAATTATGTTATCACGTTTTGCATTCTACTTCAACCATGCCCTTAGTTTTAAAATTTAGTAGAACTCATGATTACTTTTGAACTTGATAACAACTTTGATAAACAAAATTCTTGAGGGAAAAAAAAAAAGGACACTTAATTACTTAAAAGTTGAGTCATAAATAAAAAATTTAGGCGTAGCCAAACATGCGCTAAATAATGAGACTAAAATGTTGTTGAACTATTCAAATCCATATGTTCTACGACTAAACCACAATTTAAGGAAATACTGAAATCAGGGCACGTGTAACTCATGATGGCAGGCCTCCTATAATAACTTGCATAATTGCTGATAGAATTGCGTGCTTTACAATTGACTTTAACTCATTTTTATTCCATTTTCTTTTAGAACTTGAAGTGATATTTTATATATCGATTAGTGAATTGTGATGAATAATAATTTATGAATTAATAGAGAATAGAGAATCTGTCTTCTTTGATTTGTGAAAATAGAGAATCTGTGAAAAATGGAGCAATATTGTGGATGACAATAGAGAATTGTGAATCTATGATTTATGCATTGTAAATTGGGACAATAAAGGGATAATTTTTTGTTATTTGTGATTTGAAAATTGGAATTATTGTCTTTTTGAAATTGGAAATTGCTGTTGTTAGTTACTTCGGTGTTATAACTTATGTTGTTTTGATTTATATTTTCATGTGTATGGTTTTTACGTTTTCAAGCATTTATATATTAATTTAAGATTTTTTAATATTATTTAATTAAATATTAATAAATAATCTCGTTAACGATCGCCCTCATTCACTCGAGATTTTAGATCCACCACTGACGGGACATAATTAAATGTGCCCTCTTTTTCAATATATTAGCAATGTATTGCGAGTAGGCCATGGTCTAAAAATGGTACTATTAAACCAAATGACAAAAATATATGACCTTTTTAATTAATTGTTCTTTAATCAAGCCATAGGGTAGATATTCGTTCTTTTATTTGTTTGTTTGCTTATTTATCTATTTGAATTGTGTATCAAATTCAAAATCCTACTCTTAAAATTGCAAAAATAAAATAATCCTATTAACGAGTATTCTGTTTAATCTATTTAGAAATAAATACAAGCTAATGTATTTTAATAATATGATAAACAACTAATATAGATAATACTATGTACTAAATTCTCATTTTTTGTGTTGCTTTATCCCTCAAAATGGGCCGTGGGGTGGGGGTGGGGGGTGATGGTCTATACTCTTGCTTCATTCATTACTTTTATCATCATTTTGAGCTCGATTAATTGTATTCCCATTTTCATTTCGTAGTCAAAGACTATACTCAGTATCAATAAAAATTGGTACCATTTCTTAGTCAAAGACATATATATATATATATATATATAATCAATTGTGTTGATATGTTTTGAACTCTATTCAATTTTGTATTGATTGCATCGGGTTTTGAAAATATATTCACACCATCTTTGTTTCTAAATTAGTTAATGTATCACATTTATTGCATGAACGGGTATAAAATATTTACTTTCACACTACATCTCAAACTTTTTTCCGTTTCATTTTTATTGTCAAACTTTCATTAATTAACACATTTTTCTTGATGATGTGGTCTCATTATTTCTATATTTATTTTCCAATATTTACCTTTTACGGCCCAATTTCCCCAGAATATAAAAGACGATCCCACAAATTCCCAAATCTCTTAATCCATCGGATCTTCTTCTAGATCTCAACACTATCCTCCTCTTTCCCTGTCAATAGGACGGATCTTCTCCCTGCTAGGTCTCAATACTACCCTCCTCTCTTTCTCAATTCTCAACTTTCAAGCTCCGTCTCGATTCGTCTTGTACTAACAGGTCAGAGTCTGTTTATGTTTTATTCTATTCTATGTCTTTCTATATTATTAATTTGATTCGATTAGAAATTTCTTTTTACTGTATTTTGATTGCCTAATTTTTTTTTCTGTTATTTATATGTAACCAATCGTGTTTATGTGATTTGCACTCTCTTCAATTTAGATAAATTGCGTTAAGCGTTGAGAAATCTGGAAAAATGGACAATTTTGGTGAGGATCTGATTATCAATATCTTCTTTTTGCCCGTGAAAACTCTGTCAATATGTATTTCTATATTTATTTTCCAATATTTACCTTTTATGGCCCAATCTCCCCAGAATATAAAATACAATGCCACAAATTCCCGGATCTCTTAATCTGTTGGATCTTCTTCTAGATCTCAACACTAGCCTCCTCTTTCTCTGTCAATAGGACGGATCTTCTCCTGCTAGGTCTCAGTACTACCCTCCTCTCTTTCTCTCCCAATTCGTCTTGTACTAACAGGTCAGAGTCTGTTTATGTTTTATTCTATTATATGTGATTCGATTAGAAATTTCTTTTTACTATATTTTGATTGCCTAATTATTTCTGTTATTTATATGTAACCAATCGTGTTTATATGATTTGCACTCTCTTCAATTTAGATAAATTGCGTTGGGTGTTGGGAAATCCGGAAAAATGGACAATTTTGGTTACATTCCTGAAGCCATGATTATCAATATCTTGTTAAGGTTGCCCGTGAAAACTCTGTTGCGATTCAAGTGCGTTTGCAAATCATGGTGTTCTATCATTACAAGCTGCAGTTTTATTTATGAGCATTTGGATATGGCACTTGCAGACAGTAGAAAAGCTCGTCTTCTCGTCATGCAGTATTATCCAGAAACCAGCGACTTCTTCTTGTTCACTAAGGACCAACTAACGACACCAACACATTTAACAATTCATACAAAGCTTCCTCCTTATTTAAGAATTATGGGACCCTGCCATGGTCTGTTATGTCTTTCAAATGACGACAATTCAGAGTTATGCCTGTGGAATCCAGCAACTAGAGAAATCAAATATATACCAGAATCCCCAATTCCTATTCCAAGCGAAGTTGATGAGTATGAATTTGCTGAATTCGGGTTTGGTTTTGACTGTAAGACTAGAGATTATAAGGTGGTCAAATTGCTTAGGGATCATTATGATGATAGAGAGCATCGAAACAATGTCTATCAAGTTGAAATATACTCCTTGAGCACAAATTCTTGGAGAAAAATTGACGTTAATGTGCCAGCTCACTCTCTTGTGAGGAATTATGCAATGGCCTACATGAATGGAACTTATTATTGGTGGGCGGGGACATTCATTCTTTGTTTTGACATGAGCAACGAGCAATTTGGGATGATTCACTTGCCTAAAGTAGATTTTCCACTTAACGAAGAAGCGAAATACAACTGTTTCACTGAATATAATGGGTCGTTGGCGGTGATTTTTTGTTTTCGAAATGAAAATGACACATGGTCTGAACTGTGGTCGATGAATGGACATGGCATGACAGTTAATTGGACCAAGCAATTTTCGATTGGATGGTTAGAAGGATGGTGGAGGCCAATAGGGAGTTATAAGAATAATAGAATTCTTTTCGTAAGTGGATACCTTGGGGGGAACGATATGATAATCCCTTATGATCACGAAGCAAGAAGTTTGCTAATTGCTCTTCCAATTAACCCTGAGTTATTGGACAGTACCTGTTCAGAAACAGTTGTTGCATATTACACTGAAAGCTTAGTTTCCCTGGGAGATGGATGAAAATGAATCTAGGCAAGCTCCAAACTTCCAAGGTAGTGTAATTTCAATATTATCAAGTATTTATAGTGGTCAATAATCATCAGTATATTTTGCTACTTTTCGAAGCTTAATTATATTGTGATAGAATCTATTTTGAGTATTTTCAGAGATTAATTGCAGCTTCAATAAAGCCAATTCTCTTATCTTGTAGCCAAAATTTCAGTCTTCATGTTTTCCAAGTCGGAAAATGGCATCTTATTACTACTCTTCTCAAAAGTTTGACGCCATGCTTATGAATCAAATGGGTATAGGATTGTTTTGACAAGTTCCTTTACTACAATGTCCTACGTCAAGTATAGGAATAAATTCTAAAAAAATGATCCATTACATGTTTACTTAGTATAGTAGTTTCATGCATGGTACACGAAATAAGAAATTTCTTCTCTAACTCTATGAGACGAAGATCTCGTGTTTATATGATTTGCACTCTCTTCAATTTAGATAAATTGCGTTGGGTGTTGGGAAATCCGGAAAAATGGACAATTTTGGTTACATTCCTGAAGCCATGATTATCAATATCTTGTTAAGGTTGCCCGTGAAAACTCTGTTGCGATTCAAGTGCGTTTGCAAATCATGGTGTTCTATCATTACAAGCTGCAGTTTTATTTATGAGCATTTGGATATGGCACTTGCAGACAGTAGAAAAGCTCGTCTTCTCGTCATGCAGTATTATCCAGAAACCAGCGACTTCTTCTTGTTCACTAAGGACCAACTAACGACACCAACACATTTTAAAATTCCCACAAAGTCTTCTTATTGTGATTTTACAATTATGGGACCCTGCCATGGTCTATTTTGTCTTTTTAATGACGTCAATTCAGAGTTATGCCTGTGGAATCCTGCAACTAGAGAGATCAAATATATACCAGAATCCCCATTTCCTCCTCCAGAAAAATATCATGGCGATGAGGATGCTGAATTCGGGTTTGGGTTTGACTGGAAAACTAGAGATTATAAGGTGGTCAAATTGCTTAGGGATCATTATGATGATAGAGAGCATCGAAACAATGTCTATCAAGTTGAAATATACTCCTTGAGCACAAATTCTTGGAGAAAAATTGACGTTAATGTGCCAGCTCACTCTCTTGTGAGGAATTATGCAATGGCCTACATGAATGGAACTTATTATTGGTGGGCGGGGACATTCATTCTTTGTTTTGACATGAGCAACGAGCAATTTGAGACGATTCAGTTGCCTAAAATAGATTTTCCACTTAATGAGGTAGAGATTTTGGGAAATGGCATCTCTTTCACAGAATATGATGGATCGTTGGCGGTGATTTTTTATTTACTAAATAAATGTGGCACATGGTCTGAATTGTGGACAATGAAGGGACATAGCACGGCAGTTACTTGGACCAAGCAATTTTCGGTAGGATGGCTAAAAGGACAGTGGAGGCCAATAGGAAGTTATAAGAACAATAGAATTCTTTTCGAAAGTAGATTATTCGGGGACAATAGGATAATCCGTTATGATCACGAAGCAAGAAGTGTGCAAATTGATCTTCCAGAGACAAGGATGGACGGTTCCTGTTCAAAAACAATTGCTGCATGTTACATTGAAAGCTTAGTTTCCCTGATGCTAGGAGATGGATGGAAATCAATTTATGAGAACTTCAAACTTCCAAGTTAGTGTAATTTTAATATTATCAAGTATTTGTAGTAGTGGTATATAATCATCAGTACGTTTTGTTACTTTTCCATGCTTAATTATTTTGGATAAAGATTTTAATTTCAATATCATTCTGTTTCATTGTGATAGAGTCGATTTTAAGAAATTAATTGTAGCTTCAATGAATCAATTCTCTTATCTTGTAGCCAAAATGTCATTCTTGATGTTTTTCCAGTCTGAAAATGAAATCTTATTACTGCTCTTCCTACATCAAGTATGGGATTAAATTCTGAAAAATTGATTAATTACGTGTTTACCTGGTACGATAGTCGCGTGCAACGTATATGATATGAGAAATCTGTCGCTACCTAGCAACCTTTAGTCGTCCTAAGCATTCCATTAACATTTTCTTCTCCAGCTCTATCAGATGCAGGTTGAGTAGTTTTACATCTCTAAGATTACATACAAAAATGTTTGTTTTACAGTAAATATTTAATAATATTTTTTTCTCCAACTCTATGAGATGCAGATCGAGCAATTTTGTAACGAGAGTGTATACAAAAAAGATTGTTCTATAATAAATGTTAATTGAAAAACAAAATGGAAAATTAACACAAATTAAAATTATGTTATCACGTTTTACATTCTACTTCAACCATGCCCTTAGTTTTAAAATTTAGTAGAACTCATGATTACTTTTGAACTTGATAACAACTTTGATAAACAAAATTCTTATTAGTATTTTCTTTTTTTTGAAAAAAAATAAAAAAAACCTTAATTACTTAAAAGTTGAGTCATAAATAAAAATTTTAAGCGTAGCCAAACATGTGCTAAATAATAAGACTAAAATGTTGTAGAACTGTTCAAATCCATATATTCTACGACAAAACCACAAGTTAGGGAAATACTGAAATCAAGGCACGTGTAACTCATGATGGCAAGCCTCCTATAATAACTTGCTGATAGAATTAGGATAAATCTACATATACATAATTTTTTGCACATAAAGGTGTCCTCCACTCACATGGGGTGAGGTCCACCATAATAAAATATTCGAGTGAACCCCACCCCATGTGAGCGAAGGACACCTTGATGTACAAAAAATTATGTACATCAAGCAAGGCCCATAGAATTATGTGCTTTACAATTGATATTGCAGATGAATTCCGACTCTTTCGTCAATTCAGTGCAAGCTGCTTTTGGTCTATATTTTGCGTCCCTAAGCTCATAGATGCTCTCAAGCTTCCATTAAAAGGAGACTATAACATGGACAGTATCAAATATGCCAGGAATGGAGGGTTTTCTCAAGCTTCGAGATCTTCCATGTTTTCTGTTGTGCAAATGATGTATCAGATCCTAAACTTCAACATGTGTCTCAAACTCATCGTGCTGCCAGCGGCTATGGCCTAATACTGAACACGTTTGAAGAACTAGAAAAGTTTTCAGTAGCCCATATTCGCACTAAATTTCAGAAAGTGTACACAATTAGACCCATACATGCCAGCTTGAAAACAAAGATAACGCTGTAGATGTGATCATCTAGTGGACTCAAGCAGAAGGAAAGTAAATGCATGGCATGGTTAGATGACCAGGCATTCAAATATGTAGTTCATGTGAGTTTTGGAAACATGAAAGTGTTGGATATACACCAGTTGATGGAGTTTTTGCATGGTTTGGTGAATAGTGGAAAGCCCTTTTTGTTGGTCATTCTAGCTAACCTGATTTCCGAGGAGTTCCAGGCGCCAAGAGTGCATTTTGAGGGCACTAAACAAAGGGGAAAAACAATGAATTGGGAACCACAAGAGGAAGCTCTTGCCTACCCGGCCATGGGCGAGTTTTTGACTCACAGTGGATGGAATTATACTCTTGAGAGTATTTGTTAATGAGTACCAATGATATGTTAGCCATTTTATGCTGATTAGCAAGTGAATAGCAGACTGGTAGGGGAGGTGTGTAAGATTGGATTGGAGATGAAGGATACTTATGACAGAGTCAAAGTGGATAAAATGGTGAAAAAATAGACGGATGTGAGAAGTGAGGATTTTATGAAATCAGCTAGCCTCTGTTTGGTTCTGTTTTGTCACCCCAAAAAATCAATTTTTGACTGTTACTTCCCTAAGTCGGCCGTCGTTTTTTATTTCTTCACTCATAGATAGACCCATTTTTCTCTTTAACAATCAAAAAATTGATTCTCATAATCACTACCGAACAAGCCCCTAATCAAATGGCAAGATTGGCAAGAAAATCAGTGAACCAAGGAGGGACATCCTTCTGTAATTTGAATCGTTTGATTAAGGACATAAAATCGATTTATTGTTTGATTCAAGATATCCCAAAATCCAACCATTAACAAAGTGTAAAGTTCAAGCACAGCTTAGCAAAATGTAACATTTCTGTTCAAATTTTTTGGATTCTAATGAATGATTCCCTTTATTTTCATCTGACAATATACATACAAATACAATATCATACAGACAGGCATATATCGAAGTCAGGGAGAGACTTAAAACACACAACACCACGTGGGAGTTTTGTACTCCAGATATGCACAAGTACAAAAAATGTCCACAAATAACTTCACAGACAAATATAACCATTCACATATATTAGTATTATAGGACAGAATAACCAAGATAAGCCACACTATTTTATCTAACAAATTCAAATTGCATAAGAAGCTTCACGGACTTATACTTATCCCCCTTGCGATTGTGAATTGGAACTGCTCGGATACCTTGTCTCAATTCAGACACCGGCAGGCACGTTTGACCAGCAAAGTCGTCCTTCTCAGACATATCATATTCGTGAACTTCAATACGAAGTAGGGCTAGTTCTGGAACTGTTAATGGGTATTCAAAAACTTCATCCCAATTTGGTATCCAGCTGTCCTCGAGTGTCTTTGTTTTCTTCATCACAGTATCACCAGGCACTCCAGCAATTCCGACCTAAATATAAACAAGTTTGCAAACTTAAAACCTGTTTAGTGGGGATTAAAATTAAATTTTTAGTAAATTTTGATTGAAGTTGATGAAATGTGTGGTTGAAAAGTTGTGGGGCCAATAAAATATGTGGTTAAAATTAATCATGGACTTTAATTTAGATTAATATCTAGATTATAATCGGTACCAAACCGGGGTTAGTAATATCTGATGTAATACACTTATCCAATACACACCCCATTTACAATAGCCCCTATTTGATTTTGACTCTTTGACAATCAGTTCTCTCTCACACTCATTTTTAACCACATGTTTTTTTTTTCACGTTTACCCACGATTTTTCCCTACTTTCTAATCACACATTCACGCTTGCGCGCGCACGAGAGAGAGAGAGAGAGCTAAATCTAATAGTCAAAGTAGCATACAAATAAAACATTAGCTGCAGTACTAAAGCAAAAAATTTAAACTAAAAAGAGTTGCAAGTTTGGAACCAAGTGGTAGGCAGGAAGAAAACAATGATTATCTACTTACCCTTGCATAGAAATCTGGAGGAGAATAATGATCAAAGTGTGTATGATGGAAATCATAGTACCATCCTTTACCCATGAATACAGTCACCTGGTTAATAGCACAGTGTATGGATGAAATGCAAAGAGATTACATTTAGCTTCAGTCGATTTAGAAACTAATGATGTTGTCCAAAATATTAATGCCAAATAAATTCCAAACCTACCTTCAAAATAGTTTTGACAGGTAATTTAGCTTGAGGATCGAAGACCTCGTTATGTGGACCATCCATCAACAGAAAGTCCGGCTTTTTAACATATCCACAACCACCATTGGCCCTGAACATTCCATGCATCGACCAAAGTGATCTTCCATAACCCTTGGAAAAAAAAAATGACACAATGATATTGGATAATCTACCTTATTGAACTTATAATGCTTTCTTGATAGATTAAATATATGGAAAACCACTGAGCCAGATCACTTAAATCACCCCTTTGAACTTTACATATTCTTATTCTTATTAGGGACTATTATTTCTCCTACATATCACGCTGAAGTCATGAAATTCCAGAATAAAATCATTGTATCATCGCATTATCTTAGCATCTCATTGCCTTTAACTATTTACAAGATTGTGAGCTATTAGCTTTAATATTACCATTCGATGCATAAATCTCACCTAAATTGCAATGAAATTAATAGACTGTACCACAATTTCTTTCCTTCCACAGTCCCTCATTGCTCAATTTGGTGATCATATTTGCTATTTTTCACAAGGAACTTAATTTTATTAATTATAGAAGCATTAACTAGAACTGTTAAGAGGACAACGAATTCTCATCATCAACCAAAATAAAGCCAAGTCAAGAATACAATATATAACAGAATGCACTTAAACTCTACATGGAAATCCTTAAGAATTATAAAAACACAGATCTATCGTATAACTCAAAAAGTGTTTGTTCTTTTGCTTAAAATATCCCTGTCCATGTTCACCAAAATTAGCTGAGACTATCAATTTCCACATGATCCCACCTCTTTTACCGTAGCACCGAGGACCTAAGAACAACTTCTTGAAAAAGTCTACACCAAATCCCTCCCGCAACGTCACAATGTAACTTTCCAAATCCTTTCTACATATCACTATAAGGAGGAGAGGGAGAAATAAGAGCATTTCTTTTGAACCAATTCACAAGTTCTATTTTCCTATTGAGAAACCATCCACTGAAACACTTTTATCTAAAGGGATGCAAGACTTCAAAATGAACTTAAACTTGGAAAACATAGGATAGCCTGGTGAACCAACTAGAGTATTGAATCATGATTTGCAACCGAAGGATCCGAAATGCTTTAACTTCCACAACCTTTTGTCAATTCTAGGAGATTTCATGTAAACATTCTCAAGAATGGTCAATAAGAATGTAAAGTTTAAAATCCCTCCCTCCCTCATATTTCTTCAAAAATGTGATTAGATTCATATTTCTATGTACCAAAACATACTAAACTTCCTCCATTTAAGAATATACTAACCTGCATGTTAAATGCAACCATCTGAGCTCCATGCATCCACGCAATTAGGGGATTGTAGTTGGATGAGTCAAAACGTATGCCTTTAGGGTATACTCTCAATATGTTGCGCCGCGTAAACCTAAAGCAAACAAACAAAGAGCATTGAGGATAAAAAATCGCTTAAGACAGTCCTCATAAAGATAAGAACCCCATAGATGAAACATGTTTTATACACACATACAAAACAGTAAATACCCTCAAAGTAACTAGCTCACAGCATATCCATGCCTCTGAGGGGCCAATGACCCCACCAAGCTAACGCAAAGTTGAATCGAATTGGTGATATTTTAGAATAGTCAAAAGGAATGGTCATGTGAAGCTATTTCTTTGGCATGAATATTATATTCTAGTTAAGACAGTCTATATAATGTCTGAAGCTTTATTGTTTTCCTACTTTGCCTCCAATACATCTTCTTCACTCTCACCACTATGCCAATCATTAAGGAAAGCAACAGCCGAAGTCCAAATTCCACAAGATAAAAATATTCTTCGAATAAATGCCTCCAAATGTCAATAAGTCAAGAATCATGCTCAAGACAAACTTTAGAATGGGTTTGAACTAATACCTGATAATATCTCTTCCATAAGTTAATATGGCCTTTTCAAGCTCTTGCTCACTTAAGCTGAGACGTCTTACTTTCTCAGGATCAACCTTAAGCCAATCCTGCATTCCACCCTTCCCCTTTCCAGCATGAATAGCAATCAAGCGCTTATATTCTGGTGGTTCTGCAATCTGCTGTGACTTAGGATCCTCTTCATCAACTCCATCATCTTCATCGCCTTCATCTAAGCCATCATCCTAAAAGATCAATTGTGGGTAGTTAAAAACTATATTGTGAGATGAAGTGAAATTACTCAATATTGAGTTAGACATAGTTTCAGAATGCACCTTATCATCATCAATCTTGGCTTTAAACGAGAATTCTCCTCCCCAAGCTTCTTCCTCAGATGAATCCTTTCCCGGCTTTGAGGCACTTTCTTTTGCCTTAACTTCTTTGGCCTGTAAGTATTCTTTAGGTGGTTTGGTTGATATCATAACCTTTTTTTTCAGTGACTCAGGGGAGGGAAATTCTCTCAAGCATTCCGCACCAGGGGAAAACAGCATGTCTCCAAATATTTCCTTTATCATCTAGAATAGTCAACATAGAAATGATTACAAAGCCATATGAGTGTTAAAATAATCCCAGTAATCATCATTACATACCTCAGCCACTTTAGCCTGAAGATCTGGAGTAAGATGATCTTCAAGTGTTATCACAACAGGATATTCAGATGCAGTAAAAGCATTTTCCTTAATGGACCTTAAACATTTGATGAGCTCAACAGGAGTGGTGAGCGTCCTACATCAAAAGATTAGGCTCTAAAAAGGCAATAAAGACAAAGAACAGCTCATATTGAGCTAATGCATGTGCAGGCGATGGCTTCCTTGATAAGAAAATCTCCCATTTATATGTGAGATTATACTTTTTTCAACTTTTCTAACTTGGGAAGGTCAACAAACATATGGGATATGTGCACACTAGAAACATCATTCCAAGGAAATGGATGACAAAAAAAAAAAAAATCATCATTAACACCCAATAAAATAAGATTTTCGATGATTTCATGTATTCAGAAAAGAACAAAGAAATGGCATTGTATTTTTTCTTTTATCTCATTAAACTTCCTTCCTGCACATTTTTCTTTGGTCCCTACATTATTTACATGTAATTATGTCCAATGGAATACACAGATGGTAAAATTCTTATACAGTACTTTAGTTGCATGATTGATTGGTCGTTATCTCTTTGACAATCAGCATTAAGGTGCAGCAAGCTTAGCCCCTGTTTGGGATCCGTTTTAATGTGATTTTGGGAGAAAATGTATTTTGGAATAGTGATTTTTTGAAAAATGTATGGTTAAAAGATAAGGAAAAGTTTTAGGTTTAATTGTAATATTATTTTATTGAAGTATGTGAGGTTGAAAATAAGAAACAGAAAAATGTATTATTTGGATAATGGAGCCCAAATAGGGGCTTAATATGAATCAAAACTTTTATCATATGCGTCAAGTCATCAATAATATAATCAATAAGGAATATGCAAATTCAAACAACTGTAAAAATTAATGGCATACCTCCCATGAAGAACATGAATATCATCTTTGGTTGAATTTGGCCATATATCTAACTCAATAACTCGTACACCTCTATGCAATGCATTTATGATAGGGGCATCGCTACAGTCACTACTTAGTTGATTCCCAGTTAGATAAGAATTGTGGCCAGTATATATGAAGTAATGAGACAATGGAGCATTCATGTCATGGTGAACCTGACAAGGAAAATAATGGATAAGTATCAAGAAAAAGACAACTACTCTCATCTTGTAGTTTATAACATCGCAGTAATTAAATGACATAGCAGGAGTCATAAGCGCTAGAAGATACATAAAAGAAAGCAAGAAAAATGAAAAAGCAATTGAATTTCTTCACAATATTCGATGAGATCCAAAAAATTGCTTACAGAGAAAAGTTAAGAGAACTTGTATGGGACAATGTAAAACTTCAAAACTAGTATGTGGCCAAAATCAGTGAAGAATTTTTTATGCAATGATATCTAATTTCTCATTATCAAGTGCCCTTATGTCTACCTATGCATGTGGACTTAATAGCTTTCTTTTACTTGAAACTGGAAAGATAGTATTGATCCTTAAAGTACAATGGGAAATTATTAGGAACTCAGTTTGATGGCAGTTCCACCATTTTTATAGCAGCCAGCTTTCTTTTTTTTTTCCTTTTTTTTCCTTTTTAATGCTTGCTGAAACAGGGGGGTTCCACCATGTTGCTACTCAATATCACAGAAACAATCTGGATTGGAACATATTCCTACAATAAACTTGCGAGGATGATGCTGCTACCACAGTAAACACAACCTTTTTTTATGTTGGAGGGGGAGGATGGGCACAAACTTTTGCAGTAGGAATAGCATCAGATTTGAGAAAGTCATAGCTTAAATTATTGATCGAGTTACAAAGGCAGTAGCAAGCTGTAGTGGCTACCTTTCTGGAACTTCACCAAATATTTTACTCTTTTAAATTTTCTTTTGACATATGAGTGTTTCATTTGTTATAGATAATTTCCTCGTACTTGAATTCTTCAATTACCATTAAAAAAAAAAAAAAAGAGAGGAGGTAGAAGAAGAAGAAGAAACACCTAGAAGGGAATATATGAATTTGCAAGATTCTAGGATTTGGAAAACTGATAGTTCACAAGATTTTACCAGAAAAATACTTGTCTCTTCCTTGGCCTCTTTTATTAAAAAAAGAAAGAAATAAATGCCTTTCTTCTGATGTGTGTTCAATGGAACTCAAATTCAGATTATATGTTCTCTGGTTAAAAGTACGTTGGCTTATCAATTAAAAAAAAAAAAAAATACAGTAATACAAGATAAGATATTAAGTAGGCCTCAGAACAAAAATGATGACTAACGGGAACTTTGGGTCTTGGAGCGGCATTTTAAGAAAATTGGTTATTTAATTTGTGATGACCAGCTTCATAAGAAACTCCTAAGTTTATGCTAGGCACATAAACGCACTCTCGTGCATACTCAACTCTAAGCACTGCTACTAAGGACCAGTAGATAGAAAAATGAAAGACTTGCATAATGTAAAGAATCACTCTGTGTCTTTGTATAGAAAAAATACAAAAAGAAATAAAAATGAAAGACTTGCATAATGTAAAGAATCACTCTGTTTCTTTGTATAGAAAAAACAAAAAGAAATAAATTATTTGTAATCTTATCGGCATTTTGTTTGTAGGGTGTGGCACCTTCCAAAACCTACATTACTCTTTCAAGTGTCAAAATCATCAATAAGAACCTCATAGACTTTCATCCTTATCATACACACAACAATCAAACATTTTACATTTTAGGTGAAATTAATCAAACGAGGTAAATATGAAAATAACCTAAATCGCCATTGATCGAAAATTTACAAATCCACGATTAAATAAATTGGAAAAACATTACCCCGAGTTTGGGATTAAGCGGAGGATTAACTTCCCCAAACAAATAGTTAAAAAATCCCTCAAGATTGAGTCCCTGGCGATGAAATATGTTTAGGTGCTTCGACTCGTTCATGATATCCTGGGCATCAGCAACCGTGGCATTCTCCTCTTTCTGGACCTCGACGAGGAAGCGATGCAGGTGATCGACGCCCATTACGCCATTATCCGAGTACTGCTCAAATAGGGCCTTGATTCCTGCCGGCGCCTCGGCCGCAGCCATGCGGAACCGGCGCCGGAAGCAGAAGCACACTTTGTAAGTCTGCTTCGACATCTGATGAGAATCGAATTGTAGAGAAATGAGAGGAAATTGAGATTCGTTTATTGGGTAAAATTAGCCTTGCTTATAGAGAAAGGAACGGATCATGGTTGTCGATGGAGGATGGATAACAATAACTATAGGGGTGGGACCTCCACATCCTGGATTGCGCCAGCTTGTGAATTGTGCCAACATCTTATTTCTGGATTAGTCCGCATCAGATTCTGTTTGGTATATACTTATCTAAATCATCGCTTAAAGAAGACTATTGGATAGTAACATTGACTGTTTAGGTCGATTATTGTCGGTTTTTGTATGTGTTAGGATAATTAACTCCATTACTGTTACTTAACCAAGATTTTCAATGCTGATGATGAGAAAAAAAATATTAATTGGAGGATTTTGGAGCAGATATCTCTTGCTTAAGCAAGAGCTAAAAAAGGAAACGATTTTTCCAGCTCTTATAGGCAAAGTTCTGACTGCAAAATCATCATTCTTGACACAAAGTTGAGACAAAATATATTGGACGTTAAAGGGGGAGCTGGGTTGTTGAAAAATAAAAGAAAAAGAAGAAAAGGTGAAGAATTCCAGTTCATGCTTGAGGACTCCACGATTATTAATTTTTTTAAAATCCCACTATACCTTTCAATACTTATATCATTTTTATTTTTATTTTTATTTTTATTTTTTGTAACTCAGGCTAAATTAATAGGCAATAAAAAGATGATGAAACATCATTTTTCAGCTTTATTAATGAAGTCTTGTTTCTTACTCCAAGCATTTGGTTAAACTGAATAATTTCTATTGTTTTCATGTCTTCAATTGTTGGTCCATCAATTTAAATCATTTTCGCTAAAAAAAAAATTATTTATAAATATTGAGATAATATGGAAATAATTCACAAAATATTTAAGAAAAAAAATGGAAATGGTAAATGACTTAATGCAGCCACAAAATCCAAAGTGCAGTGGGAAAATTTCTTAAAGGAACCTATTGAAATTTTCTTATAGAAGCATGAGATCATCATTAAGAATGCAAGTTTGTCTAAGGTTAAAAGTCAGCTTTCAAATAATTTATTTGCTCAACATTTTTTGAACTTGTCGTGCACAAATTTGCTAAATGGAATGGACAGCGTTTCACAAAAAAAGATGTTAATATTAACCAAGGAGTTAGTTACCAATGACAAGTGACTTGTGAAACATCCATACAACAGAACGAGTTTTTTCCTTTCTGTATCCAAAATTTCAACATCAACTGTACAATAGATAAATAGAAGTGAACACAAGTTATGTCTCAATGGAAACTGAATTTTCATTCATTCGAACTTGAACCGCATTAGAAGCCTCACCGATTTGAATTTCTGACCCTTTTTGTCATATAACGGGACAGCCCTTATGCCAGGTCTCAATTCTGAGACTGGTAAACACGTTTGCCCTCCAAAATCATCCTTATCGGACATATCATGTTCACGTACTACTATCCGTAGTAAAGCCAGCTCTGGAATTCTCAATGGGAATATAAATTCTTCATTCCAATTAGGTCCCCAGTCATCTTCAATTATCCTTGTTTTTCTCTTGGCAGTGTCTGCCGGCACGCCTATTATGTGAACCTGCCATTCCAATTCACTGAGAACTCAGAAACATTGACTATTAAACTGACAAGCTAAATGTGCTAAGTTCTACTGCCCTTGAAACTTGTGGGCTAATGTGTAATGGCAGAAAGGATGTCATACATTTCTTGCACATCTGAAGTGTAAGGAAAAAAGAGCACTTGGAAATGTTATTCTTCTTAAGGAAGTGAGGCTCTAACTCTCTCCTAGCGGTGCAACCATAATATATGCTCCACAAGCAACGTCTATGATTCATGTATCAACTCGTAAAACTTCAGGCAGCAAATTGCTATTATAAACCAATAACACCAACAAGACTTCTATGATTTATGCATCAGCATGGTATTGGAAATTTTTCCAGCTCCATAGAGATTGGAATGTTAGATTATACTAGAAAAAACAATATTCGGAAGCAGGTGCTATAAGTGTACGAGGATGAGAAAACCAATTGACCAAGATGGAATTCTCAGCGAAGTATGGAATCGCTTGGGTGAGTTGGGTATTATATGGTTCACAAAAGTGTTCATTGAGATCCTATCATAAATGGTAAAAATATACCAGATGTATGGAGTAAATGTATCATGGTGCCTATTTATAAGAATAAAAGAGATATCCAAGGTTTTACAAATTGTAGAGTTATTAAGCTCATGAGTATAAATATGAAATTAAGAGAAGGGGTTTTTAGCATACGCTAAGATGTAGTTTAAAGGTTTCAGAAAACCACCTTAACTAGCTAATCAAGCAATAATGTCATTCAGTGTGCTATTGATAACCCCCATTGTATATTGAATTAAGTGAGTATTACAAAACCCATCCACTAATAAGTACTTCTTGGTTGACGCTAATGGATTGAACCTAAATATTTCTTATCTACACTGGTTAAGTTATGCCATTTGTTGTTTCTAAAATATCAGTAGTATAAATTAGTATTATCAAATATACAATCGGCTATGCTTTTAGTTAAAGGAAAGGAAAAAATCCAACTAGAAACAATTCTTCCTAGGCCTCTGAATAGAAGGGAATCTCGTAGAGTCGGAAGGATACTGCAAGGAGAGCCCTCCACGGTATACAGAGTGGTACCAGTCCTATAATCTAGAAATTCAGAAGCTAAAAGCCATATGCTAATCATTCAACTACATTTGGTGAACCATTTAATGCTAAATGTTAAATTCACTCTCTCATTTTTATAATCTCTCTAAACTACTAAAGCTACTCCTACTGACCTTCGTGTAGAAGTCTGGAGGTGAAAATGAATCAAAGTGCGTATGACTGAAATCCAAACGCCATCCGTCTCCCATGTACACAGTCACCTGTCAAGTAAAATGGCTGCTAAAACTATACTGTCCGACCAATGAACTCTTCCATTCCAACATTTTACTCACCTTTAAAGTTTGTCTCACTGGCCATGGTAATTTTGGATCAAATACCTCATTGCTTTGGCATGTCTTCATAAGTAAATCAGGTTTCTTCACATAACCACAACCTCCATTGGATCTAAACATTCCGTGCATCATCCAGAGAAATTTTCCATATCCCTGTTAAATAAAAACATAATAAGAATCCAACAGGAATTACAGGCTTATTTGGACATAAGCTAAAGAAGGCGCATACTGGTTGATCCTTGCAACTCAAATAAAAAATTACCTATGAAATATTATAGAATATTAAAATTAAAATTTTTTAAGTCTGAGTGGATGCTACTGGTTAATATGACTTCAGGTTGTGCTTTTTTAGATACTGCTTACGAGATAAGTATCTTCATATATCAAAAAAGTACACAATGATTTAAGTCAAAATTTCTCTAATTTTATGCTCCAAATTTCACAAATTTTGGCTTCAAATATCCTTGTTAGTTGAGATTGTGTCCCTTGCATGTCGGAAATCGAAAAACTACGAAGCATATAGGACAGGCTAAGCAGCTATGTGCTCCAAAAACTGAACCATTCCACACTCAACCCCAACCCCCCCCCCCCAGCAACCACCCCTCCCCAACCAACACCGGGTGGCAAGTTACTCAAATGAAAGAAAATATATAAAGAATATAGTCACTGGTAGTTATCCAAAAAATGTGGATGTGCAGGGTCGATGATAAAGAAAACATCCTAACAAGAATAGGGGAAAGGTAAACCATAAGAACAAAGCAACGATCCTCTCACACATGATACACCCAAAAAATGACCTAGAGCAGAAAGATGAAACAGTCTAGTGCAACGAGAAAATGATCTACTGAAGTGTTCTTGTCACTTGCACTTTTGCCAATATTTGAGCCCAATAGTTCATGCAAATTCAAAAACTACAAATGTTTCTATCTAATAATAATTTATTTCCCAAAATGTCAATCTTGAAGCTAAAATAATTGGGAACAGAAAAGCATCCTTTCCTTTGCCAAGGGTCAAACCGGTGGTCAGATTAATCAAATAAAAATATACATTCCATAAAAAATTATAAGCATAAGTTAGTTTTTATCAAAGTTACAAAAAATGTATCAATAATCAAACATTAGGTTTCTATGACGACAAAGATATTAATAACAAGGCAGCATAATATATATACAATTACATTTATACACCACTAATGTAAAAAAATAAATGTAAAAAAAAATTATTGCAATACCTCTTTCTTTGCTCAAGCTTTATAGTCAATTATTATTATCATTTATTTATTATTATTATTATTTTTTTTTTTTTTTACTTATTGAAGACAAACCTCCATAGTACTTGACCCTTCACGCAAAAGACTCCATACTTAGTATCAACCATGCGGCTAGTTTAGGAAACATAGATGTGATAAGA